TCTCAAAAAAAAAAAAAGGCTTCAGTTAAAACAAAAAACAAAAAAAAAGAACAAGAGGCACTCAACCGAATGCAATGGATAAATACAATGTATAGACTCTCAACTATACCAAAAAGAAACTAATGTTTATACTTAGAAGAAGAGAAAAGTAAAAGGAAAAAGGAAGAAACAACATTTTCCCCTCCTCAGCTACGGAGAGAAAAGTAAATGAGAGAGAAAAGTTAAAAAAAAAATATAAGACCCACATATTTTTGCCTCCAACTTTCTCTCTAAATATAAAAAGATTTTGGGAAAAAAATTATTTACTAATTTTTTTTATTTTCACCTCTTGCTTTCCTTTATTTTTATCATATATATTTGTAGTGTAGTTATATTTTAACTATGAACTTTTGTGAAACAAATAGGATATTTAATTTTTAGACTAATTAGACAAATACTAATTCTAAATTTTCAGATTAATTTTTCATTAAATACCTTATATTTATTAAATTGTTATATATTTAATAATTTAATAATTTAATAAATAAAATTTTGAATTGAATAAAATATTTTTTGTCAGTATTGAATAAATAATTTTTAATTATGCTTTTATTCAGTCAATAATATTTGATAAAATTTGATATATATAATATGTTAAAGTATTAAATTTTATTATATAAATATTTTTATAAATAATAAGATTATTTTATTTTCATATAAATTAATAATCTCTTGTTTTTTCTTGTTCAATCAAACATAATAAAAAAAATTATACTTTTGACTTTTTTCTTTTTCAATTTCTTCCTCTACGAACAAAAATTTAGTTATACTTAAGCCAACCTTTTTACCCAATGGTTATACTTAAGCTCTTCATGCTGCTTGGAATTTTCCCTCTATCCCATGTTTATTTCACATGAAGATGTATTCCCCTCTCCCATGTTAAAAAATAATTTTAGACAAAATTTCATATCCTTATAAAATTTATTAAATATATCTAAATTTTTTAAATAAAAATATAAACTTTTAAAAATACCTTTCATTTAACATATTGACAAGACAACAAAAGATAAATTAAATAGGAGGGAAATGATAATACTGGAAACATTTTATTAATAAAATATTAATCTTGTCAAAGTCTCTCATATTTTAGAATAAAAGAAATAGTAAAAATGAAACAAACTCAAAATTGTTATGAAAATAAAAAGAATATAAAGATTGAGGTCAAAGAAATAAAGAACACGAGAGAATTGGAGAGAAAGTGGAGTAACATTCACTCACTTGAGTATCACTGTAACATACCAAAATTTTTTTTTTAAAATAATTTAACTCAACTATAGTTGGGTTACAGCCACCCAACACATTTTTATATCAATAATTTCAATATAAAATATTTTATAATTGGCTTCAACTCACACACTATAACATTTCAGATAAATTTTTACCTCCCACATACCATTAGGCTAAATCACATTTGTCCATCCTTATACTCCCAACAAGTAAAATAAGCAATTTAGTCAATTTTCAACACAAGCCAGTTATTTGGCCTTATAATCATGCCATTTTAACCAATCCAAAGTAAACTAAATATTAAAATTACAGTCATCCAAATTGTACCAAAAATAGAAATAGTTTGAAAGGCATGATTACATTTATATATTCATATAATTGACAATAAACAAAAAGCCCTAGTATTGGCAATATAACACATTATAAATCATAAATTAAATACCCAAAAGAGACAGTGGATCTATACCACTAAGCCTCTGGGACTCCTCCACGTGTCACTCGTGGCTCTTCTCCTGAAAATTGTTAACCACATAATGAGACTCAAAAGTCCCAGTAACCAAAGCCAATTTATGATAGTGTATACAAACAGTTAAGTGTGTGCTTACTAAGTGAGAATTAAAAATAATATAATTCCAACAAATATAAGAAATATTACAATACACACAAACAACCATCCTTATATCCCTCCATTAACCTCGAGCCGTAGCCTCACTCGGTGCTAAATTACCCGGCCAGAGGTAGATTAGCCCGAGCCCTTACAAGCCACCTATTGAGCTCCAATAGGGGCGTACCACGTGGCACATAAATACAACAATAATAGCAAGTCTCCCAACACCTCCCACAATAATCAAATAAATTTATAATAATATTGCATAATGATATAATATTACAAAATTTATAATTTTCTCAATAATCACCCAATTAACATGAAGTAACACTAATCATAAATTAAAAGCATGGTTACCTTGTGGCTTTTTCAATAAATTATTCCTTTTAAATTTCTCTCTCACCACAATCTTCACCAGTAATACAATCTACAAAATAACATATTAGTATAAAATATGGAGTTCAATTTTTGAAACTAATAAAATAATTCTAATAATAGAATTAAAAAAAATATAACCTAATTCCTAATCTCAATCTTAATACAAATCTATAGTTAATACTATTAAGTATAATTTTAACTCCTCTTTAATTATCAATAAATATTAATAATCTAAAAATCAACTTCTAAACTAATTTTTATTATCAAATTTTCTTTTTATTCATAAATCGTACCTAAAATACCCAAAAATTAAAAAATAAGTCTCTAGCTTAGAATCATAACCTATAGCCATAATAATTCATTTCTCATCCCAAATAATCATCTAAACCTCAATAAATCAACATATATTTTCAGACCTAGTCTAGAATTTGATCCATAAGCCACAAATTCAAAGATCACCAATAAATTTATACTCTAGAATATTATTATACTACTAACAACCTCAAAAACCATATTTATTCAACATAAATTCATCCCTCTTCCAGATCTTAAATTTTCTACCACTACAAAATTAGAAACCAAAGAAGAAAGATGACTAAAAAATTTTTAGAACACTTACTTAGTCTTAAAAAGCTTAAAATCACACCCTAAATATCCTATTAAAAACTCTTACCTTAAAAATTTAGATATTTCGCATCGGCAACTCGCTTCTCTCCGCCTCAGCTCGCGCGCAGGAAAGGAATTGAAGAAATGAAAGGAAATGGGTGAGTTGTATAAAAATTTAGTGGGTCCCACATATTTTTTTTTATTATTTTCTTCTCTCTCCCTCTTTTTTTTATTATTATTTATATTTACTATTCATGCGGCGCCGAAAGCAAATTCGTTTTCTTCTTCTTCTTCCTTTTTTTTTGGCATACCTTTTCCCCTTTTTTTTATTATAATAATAATTTAATAATTTTTTTAATTTTTTAATTAATTTTTTTTAAAATTTTTTTTAATTTAGAATTATATCCTAAATTAGATTTAATAATCATTTTCTACTAATTTTCTTACCTCTAAATATTATTTTTTTTTAAATTTTTATTAACCTAAATTAACTATTAAAATTTTAAATTGGGATGTTACATCACCAATGTGGTACATAGTCTCTACTTATAGGCCCCTAACCTTACATAAGAATTACAATTTCTTAAATAAAAGAATTATTCTACATTATGATAAAACATAAAAACCATAGGAGGTTATATGAATAAATATTAGAAAACCACTAATTTAAGAGATATAAGGTAAATGGAATTAACCATAAGATGGAATCCTTGGAGACTATAGAGTTGTAGACATCCAAAAATTATAAAAGGCGAAAAATAATATAGCATTAACTTTACTCCTCCTAATGAGGATATCAATTTAACTCTCCCTGATAATAACATCATTTTTTGTTATTGTATCTCAATAAAAAAAAAACTAATTTCTCAAATATGATTGTTGCAAATATTCTTCTTTTTGGACAAATTATTCATGATGCATTTTCATCATTTATATTTTTTTAACATATCTTTTGGATATGTTGAATTATATACATATTCTTCTAACATATTTTTTGAATATATTGAATTATTAATATACATACTCTATTTGTCTTACAAACTATGAAGATTACAAAAGAAAAGTTCCTGTAAAAATCATCATAAAATATCTTGTATCTGCATGTTTATATTTGTTTACATAGCAGAATCATCTCATATAATGGTTTCGATGTAACTATAAATCCTTCATTTTAATATCCATCCATTTACTAGAGTAAATGCAACATTAATGAAATATGTAAATATTATCATAGAAAAAATGTATGGTATTTAAAGACCATTAAGTTCAATATATTTTATATACAAAATTATCATTAAAAAATAATGATTTTAAATTATCAAGATATTCAATAATTCAACTTCCAAGTCAAGTAAAATGCAAAATTATACATTATTTTTCACTGCATATCCACTGAGTTAGTTATACACACACACATATATCCAAACTACTTTAACTATTTTAATCCATATAGCATAACAAATAATTATCTTGGTCATGCTTTTGGTATTTTTTATCCTTCAAGAAATCTTATAAAAATTTCACTATTTAGTGTATTATGCACATGCTATAGTATCCAATAGATACATCAATCATATATACAATATTCACCGCAAGATAACATACTTGATCATTAATTAAAGTTGTATATTAACAGCAGGTAGTTTAAGTTATGGTGTTATTATTTTATTATATCCCATTACCATGGTCTATCGACTATCGATTTCCTTTCACAGCCTCATCCTCCACAACTATGGTGAACACGTCTCAGGGTTCCATCCTCCTACTTTAGAATCCATACACTTATTCTTTTGATAAACAAAAATCTAAAATCCAATTTACTTGCAATGAATTAAAAAAATTAAAAATAAAAACAACAAGTGCAATTAATTTCACAAGTTACAATATATACTAACTAATTAATTAATTTTATCACACATATACTGAGAGGATGGATTTAATTCATTTTAATTTAGTTTACAAGTCTTGTCATGTTGACCACTAAAAGAAGAATGATCTAATCCATTTTTATTTTATTTTTATTTACTTAGTTTGTTCTAAAATCTCCAGTCAAGGCAGATAGTCTTAGCAGACCACGGATCACTCGTTGATTCAATACCCTCAATACCCTCGTGTCATGTTTAAAATGCTTGGTCAAAACATGTACGCAAACTCGATCCGACCTCTCTTTTTGTGGGTAACTTGCCTCCTTTTCGCCCGAGCCAATCTGCGCGAGCCGCATTGAATTAGCCGGGCTAGTGCACACCAACCAACAAAAAATGTAAATGGTTGATATTGCTGTGAAGCGCGGAGGATACGATTTAATGATACAAATGATCGCTAAAAACTTAGACCTCCCAAGTGAGCACTCCAACAAGAACCGACAGGAATGCCTTCACATTGCACTTACAATCACATCAAGTACTATCAGATTCGTTTCCTGAGTCTACGTTCATAGGTTGCGGATTCTTGTACCCACTGATCTCATCCTTGTAACGTTTTTTATCTGCACGAGCTTTTGCTTCATACGGTTCCTTCTCGTCCGCTGCAAAATTCAGCCAAGCAAGTAAAAAGAAAGCAAGCTTTGCTTAGTCGCAAAACACATGGTAGCTTCTCATCCCATAAGATGTGATGCCAGTGTTGCAAGCTCATGGAATAATTGACTTGGCAATCAACCGTACCTGATCTTCTTCTTCCATTTCTCTCCAAGTACTCTTCCCACATCCGTAAATGAAATTCCAGGATTACTTTTCTTCAGATTCTGCAGGAAAAGGAAAAAAAAAAAAAAGGAAACAAAATATCTTTTAGAAATATAACTATTCCGTGAAAACTCAAATGAGACAATGATCACCAATACAAAATGCCAATCATTACACATGGATTTATAAACTTCCACAAGGTTCTTTATAACTACACGAACCTGACCTGAGAGCCTTGCCCCCCCTACCCCTATTGTTACCTTGTCCCTCAATATACTTGCTTCTACATAAGCCTACAATATACTTATTTCCACATAAGCCTACACTATCTATATACCAATGTCATAATATCAATATGAATATAAAATCAGCAACAATTAAAATTCTTCAAAAGCCTTAAACTCAGAAGGGTAGGCACTACATGGTAGTGATTAGTGAAGCACCACAGCCCCCACCAACCACCTCCCAAATCCAAAGAAAGTAAAGTACTACCGCCATAGACATGCGGAAACAAAGAACGAACCTCTCTCTCCATTTGGGAGAAGAACATGAAACCAGACAATGCCCTCTTTGGCGCATTAGGATCCTTTTTCTTCTTCTGTTTTTTCTTTTTCCCATCTTCGTCTCCATCTTTAGGTTTCTTCTTTGAAGTAGATGCCTTAGAAGACAGTTCCTTCTTTGATTCCTTTTTGGCGGGCTTCTGAAAATGCGCATTGAGGAGCCGGACACATCAAAACGTAAATAACAAAATAAGGGGTTATCAGAAGACAAGGAAGGCGGATGTAAACAAATCTTTTACCTCTTTCCCACCACCTTCACTTGCATCAGACTCGTCTTCTCCAGAATCATCAGTCGGAGAACCACTATCATCCTCATCGGCAACAAAATCCTCATCCTGTAGGCATTTATCACTGAATTAAGATATTGTATGTAGAAGCAAACCAAGATCAAAACATAATGCAAGGATAAAATATGGGGAATATAGGCGCAAGCACTCTGAATGAAAGGGCATTTGCCAAATATGAAAGATAACATAAAAGTGTGACCAAAACAGGAAACACTGAAACACAAGAAGAAAACTAAATTAACCAAATACTTTCAAGAAGACTTTCAAACTTAATAAAATTCTTTAAAGTACCCAAACATTTTCAGACACTGGTAACCATTCGGCACTTACATAATTAAAGAGGAAAAGAAGCACATTAACTAAATACTAAATGATCAACCAGGGATAAAAGAACAACAAAAACAATACCTCTTCATCACTCTCATCTCCACCAGCTGCATTTTTTATGCGCTCAAGATGTGGATCAACAGCATCATCATCATCTTCTTGAAGAACAGCGGCGACACCATCAGTAGCTTGGACACCTCCAAGGTTCATAATTTTCAAGCCTTTTGAACTGCATTGACAGGCCAAAACCGAATAGAAAATTATTTATTACTCTCTACCACAAGATGTGGAAGACAAAAAGTTACCTGATAAAGTCAAAAAGATTGTGGTATTCATTTCTCTGAATATTACGGAATAGATGCTCCTGCTCAGTTTTTAGTCTGATAAGAAGGTCAAAATAATGCATATTTGAACCCCCAGCAGTATGCCTCTCAAATTCCACATAGTCAATCTAGAAGGGGAGCAAATCAAATGATCAACTTCAAATTAATAATCTCAAGCAAAATCAACAGACAGCTATACTGATCATCCGTAAATCAATTGGACTTTACCTCTTCATGAAGAATGAGGGTAGGAGGTTTAGGTAAAAAGAAGAAGCTCTTCTCAAGGGGATACAAAATTCCATCTTCAGCTTTCAAAGACGATTTCACAGCATAACCATCTTGACAGCTCCTGAATTTTCCTGGCTTGGTAACTTTGGCACCAGACAAACCACGCAATATTGTTGTGAAAACTTCATGGATGAGCCCCTAATAATACATTTGAAAATCAAACATTAATTATAGCATTGTCGTGTGTATAATAAAACAGGTACAAGAAGCAATCCACCCCACCCCAAAGAAAAAAGAGAAAGAAAGAGAAAAAGATAAGAGAAGGAAATTCTCAAACTCAGCCAATTTTGGTAAAATCAAATTCCTCAAAAGTTAATTACTTTAGAAATTATCCACCAAAAAAATTGATCAGGGTAATTTGAAAATTCATCAATACAAATTTTTTTTAAAAAAATATAGAGCCACACTATTTAGAAGCAGTGAACAATGCAGTTCATCTCAGACTTCAATACATGAAGCCCACTCTAGTCTTCTCCTCAATCCAAAAATTAAATTTCTAATGACATAATTCAAACAAGGCAGTCTAAACATAAAAGGCATCAGAACCTTCCAGCACCTCTCATCTAAAGGCACTAAAAAAGCCTAATAAATAAGAGGAGGTTTAAATAAAAAACTGACAATATGCTACGTAAATGGAAACATAGGAATTATTGCGACACCATTTGAAATAACTGCAAAAAAAGTCCGAAATTAAGTCATCCGGACATAGGTTTACCTTAAAATCCAAAAAGATGTTGCAAGCTGGCTGGTAGCCATGCATTATTAAATTAACAAAAGATGAAGTGCATCAGCCCAAATTCATTGGCTTTACAGTTTTCATATGCTTAAAACACTTGCGATGTTATAGGGTGGACAAGTGATGTTTATCTATATCAAATTAACCCAATAACTGCGAGGCGCATGAGACAAGCCCCCCTTGTATCAATAAAAAAGCTCCAAAGCACTAACATACAAGAACCCAAATGAAGGCCAATTCAGTCAGCAATAAGCAGGGGTGACTACCTTTGACAAGACTAATTTCATATACCTCGAAAGTTTGCTTTTCCCTCTTACACTACCACATCCAAACCACACCAACTATATTACCAATGAATTTTCATCATCCCATATACCCTAGGGATGTTGAGGAGCATGATTCCTCGTACTAAGGAGTTGAGACAAAGAGGGAGTGGCAAAAGGGAACAACCTTATATGAAAGCTCCAACTTGTCCTTGTACTTACTGTTGTAAAGATCTTCACCCATTGACAACGTGCTTTGAACTACGTAATCAGTTTCAAACTGCAAAAAAATTGAGAACAAGATGTTAGGCGCAGAATTGAACCCTAACATAGTACAAAGCAATGTCAAGAAGAAAGCACAAAAAATACCTGCATCACAATGTGTGGGTACAAAGTTTGTCCTTTACGAATTGGCGGATCAAGACTAATAACAACAAAGGTGTGTGGCTGATTTGACTGCAGGTACATAAAGGGAAGTTGACATGAGAATTTTTCACCGTCACTAAACTAATCAAGGGTGTCTGTTTTTTTCAGGTGTGATACAACATCCATACTAAGAAGACATTGGATCAGTAAAGAAACCTTGGGAAGTAAAAATAGGCGAACAACACTGCTATACTGGATTTTGAAATCATTAGCTTGTCCTTGAAGCCGCAAGAATGACAGATGTAGTTCAACACTGTACCGCCCCCTACATAAAAGGAGATTCTTCCATTAATAAATATTATTAATAATATTTCTTTTTCCTAAAAACAAGGGTATGAATGCAGGCACCATACAAGATAATAATAAGTAGCCAGAAATACGTTAATGGTTATGTCATATCATGCATCTGTGAATTATCTATGCATTTTAAGGCTTTACCTTGGTGTTAGAATAGCAATACCCTCAAACGTAACAACAGCATCTTCACCTCCAGCACCGACGTCCGCCATAGACATGATTTTATCACGGAAAACCTGATTAAAAATTTAACAGTTAGTTAAATATTTATGATGGCTTTCATGGAATATATTAATTATTAATATTTAATGAAGAAATTTACCTGAGCAGGAGGACGATTTTCATCACCAACAAATTGGGTGTTGGAATTTGGTATGTGAAAACTTATCTCCATCAAAGAATCTTTCTGAAACAATGACACAACTGATGTTAGACATCCAAAGTGCAACCAAAATATTATTCATGATAGGTGCCTAAATACCTCATTAGCCCCAGTCGTGTCATCCACATGAAACTCCAAGATCACATCATTTTTCCCTTGAAGCTGTGTTTGAGAGACATCTGCTAAAGATACCTCAAAAGCTTGCTTTGAGCCAACCATGAAAGTCAGCATATTTCCTAAAAAAGGAAACAGAATTTAAGGAACACCCAATAGTGACACACAGTAGTCACTCAATTCAACAATACAAGCCCTAATAAAATGACAAAAGTAGCATTTGTTTGAGAGAGAAACTCTAGATATGAAACAAGGAAAGTTTTCCCTCCTACAAGATTCCTTTCCTTCCTTTCATGCCCAAGCATAAGATAGTATTCACTTTGACTATACAAAAATAGAAAGATAAAGAACTCGTTCATTAAAACTTTGACCACAAGTATCAAAAATTTTAGTAGTGTAGCTTTAAAAATAAGAAACTTAAATTAAACCCAAAAACAATTCATCTAGACTGCAATTACACACAAACTACAATAAACCAATGATGCATCATATTTCCCACAAGTACAATGGAAGGAGAGGAGCACTCACAAACAAACGACGTTACAGAGTCACGCACACATCCACATAAACCAAACAAAAAATACCAAAATATAGAAGAATTGCATTCAAGATTTGACAGAGAGTAGTCTGAGAAATGCACAGTTCATGCTCTGGGGAATATCAACCTCAACAAATAAGCTGGTTATGTAAATATCACATACCATTTAGATCAACTTCTCCCCAGTTACGCCCACTAACAGAAAGCTGCTTTTCCTCTGGTGTAATCCCACATGTATTTTGGAAAAAGCTAGTCAAACTTGCCACATCCTATAAATAATCATGAGAGAAGAACAAAGATGGAAGTTAGCACATGCAAACATTCCAATATTAGTCATGCCCTGGAAAAACATTTGATGAGTATAGACACCAACATGATGCTTAGCTATCAGTGTTTCAAACACAGTTGCAACTATTACATTCATTTGGCAGAAGAATAAGGCAATTATATATTTGGATCAAACAAACTAATAATAAAGGCACAAAAGTAAGCAATCAAATACAATGTTTAAATTCCTCCCTCGAATCCAAATATACATAATGCACATCTGTAAGGTGAAGAGAGCAACCTGGTCACGGAACCCAGTGAACTTGTAGAACAATCCATCTTTGATTCGAACACCAAGCTGATTAGTTCTTGGGACCTTCATCCAAGTCACTCCCATTATGTCAGCTTTATCAACCTCAATTGCTTTACCGCCACCCTGTCTTTTCCATAAAATCCCTCCAGAATATATTTTCATCTGCCCTGGATTCTGTAACCCCCACATTTCAGAAGAAGTACCATAGGCACTTTCAGTCATCTACTCATAAATTTAGTGGGAATTTTCTCTTTTATTTCCCTTCTAGAAAAGACAATGAACGAGTGTCCTAAATTCCATTTTAGACACAACAGACCAAAATTTGATATGAACTGGCAGATGCCAACCATGTATGGGACCATATTGCTCAGATTCATTAACGATAAATAAGTTTAAGAGAACACCATATTAAATCAAACAATAACTTCCGTTCGATCCCGGCTGGAGGTCAGGGAAAATAGAACAAAAACAAAAAACAGAAATGAATTGCCTTACTCACTTCCTCCCTATTTCACTTCAGAATTAACAACGATGAGTAGCCTTCTAGGGCTTTTAAAAAAAATGGAAACAAAACCCACAGAGTAACGAAATGACGTTCCCATCAACTGTTTTCGTTTTCAGTTTATAAGACAACAAAATCAATAATGTTATATCTACTCGCCAAATTTCATCAAATTTGACGAATATACTACTAGGGTTTTTAAAAAATCGGCGAGATGACAAATTTGACACGCTCTAAACTTTAGCTCAAAATCAAGGCCACTGAAAAAAAAATTGGGGAAAAAATATAGGGCTCATTGAACCGAAAGTATATTAGGGTTTCCAAAAAACCAACAGCTTTAGCCAAAACCCATGTAAAACTAGACAAATAAACGAAGAGAGGAAATCGAATAACCGGTAAGTGATGAGGGGGAAGAAAGAGAACTTACAGTTCCTCCACGGCCACCGAGAGCGATGTTGTTAAAGAGATGACCATCCGTCATGGCTAAGAAAGTGTGCAAAGCCGGGAGCCAGGGAACACAGCCCGATGGTCCAATTTATAGGCTGCAAAACGATGTGCAATGGGCACACAGGGTCGTGGCGGGAAGTCTCGTTTGGTCGGACGATGCGTGACGTGTCCAACGCCCACCATTTGTCTAAAATATTTGGGCAATTAATTTTTTTACTCTCTGGAATTTATCTTAATTTACACGTTAGTCCATGTGCTTTAAATTCTTTCAAGTCGCTCACTAAAACATTGATATATTTACAATTTACAATTAAAACCAGTAATTTGAAGGAGACTAACTTCAAGTTAATCTGGTCCCAAATACTGCAAAACACACTTAGGGCTGTTTAGATTTCAATTAAGTATAATTAATTATAAAAAATTAATTAATATAATTGATTTTGATTATAATTAATTATGTTATAATATGATCTATTTAAATATTATTTTTTGAAATTGATTTTGACAGAATTAAAAATATTTAGATGACTTTAAACAAAATTAATTTTATATGTGTAAATTATAATAAAGGATCGAAATTTTCTTTATAATGTAAAATTTGAAAATATTGTTTATAATAATATGAGTAAATTTGTTAAATTCCATTTAATAAATAAAATAAAATAGTACAATAGTTATTATTCTGACATGATTAATAATAATTTTTTAACACACACATATACTAATTAATAAAAGTCACTGGTTTACTCTGAATCAATAAATTTATATTAAATGGATAGTTAGTATTTAACACGCACACATATTTTCATCTATCCCACTCCTATGTTGCCAGCCACAAAAAGCCACAAGCAATACCAATAAGCACCATTTTTGGAGGTGTTGAGGAGGGTTCACAAGCATATAGTCTCAAGTTAAAATTACTTTGGCAATAATAATGACTCTAACGTGGTAATCAATTCTCAAAAGCTACTAAGATTAGCTTCCTTCACAATGGAGGCTTTTAACCAAACACAACTATAAACAATTTGAGGGTGTTTCGGTTTTGTTTTTGTTTTTGTTTTTGTTTTTTGGGTTAAAATCATGGTTTAGTGGGGCATAATTGATTAATTTCGGGTATCCAAAGAGGCTCCTAGCAATTTAGGCTTTCACTCTTTTAAAATTTCAAATTGCTTTTTAAAGCCTACTTTATATTTTTCATGCATAAAAAAATGATATATTAAAAAAAAATAAGAAATGAAATTACAAAATTTAAAAACATAGCAAGGGCCATGATCTGTTTGACGGTCACGTAAAATAAAGGAGGATCAGCTAAGAAAACATTAAAAGTGAGGAAAGAAGCTAAGGTGGGAAATATCATCCCAAATGACATTGTTACTCTTGCTTCCTAAATTATCCAGAGAAAGGTTTCTTTTCTCGATGCAAGTTACATCCAGGCGATTATTATTTTCTTGGATCAAAGAGAAAAGGGGTGTGGTAATGAATCCTAGGTGTTATTTGGCACAAGGGAAGTCCAAAATTAGCATATCAATTTTAAAAATAATTTCAACTTTTCGGAAGATAAATTAAGGTACCAAACAAGCAAATTATACATGGATTTTTTATGAAGTTAATTTCTCAGAAAGGTTATATATATTTGGTATGCTAGCAAGTTAATCTTCCGATAAGTATAATTACTAAAATCAAGCAAACTTATATGAATAAACAGAAGAAAAAACCAGGTGCACAATGATTCAGGCCTCCTCGCAGGAACCATCTGGCCTTGTAATTAAAAAAATAAAATCTTTTGTACGTGTCATTTTGCTTTTGATCACAAGCACCCATTTATCCATTTGAATTTTGCATGGTTCGTCCTTGACTCGATCCATGGGATCTGACTAAGAGAATTCTCTTCTGCGATTTTGATCACTTAGCATATATCTTAATGTTTCCACATAGCTTTGCATCACATTTGCATTTGATGTCCTCGTGATATTGGATAATGGTCGCTGTGGAGTGAGAATTTTGTGAAGAACCTTTCAAAAACAAAAAAACAAAAAGAGTTCTGTGCAATATCTATCAATGTATTAATCTTTTTAAAAGTCTGTGTTGTGTCTTGATGGGATGGCATTTTTCAAGGGGGCCTATACTTCACAAGCTCAAATAAACTAGACTACCTAGGGGAGAAGCCTCCCAAGTTTTAATTTTTTTTATATTATATAGATATTATATATTTTCGACCATGAAAATTTTGTAGTTACACGTGTTTTTTTAATTTTATCCTCCTCATAATTTTAAGGGTAGTCAGAATGATGGATTAGTATTGTCGTGCAAATCAAACTATCTTCCACTCGCTTGTTTGGGCGCAAAGAATGAATAATCTAATCCATTGAATCTGGCTTGTGGAAGCAGTTGTAGCACGCCACTGATTCAAATTCTAACATCATATTTTTGTCTGAGAAGGACAGAGAATATGGTTCCTTGTGAACTTAAATTAACGACTTGATCTGATCCCAGACTCGAGACGTGCGCGGAAATAGTTCATCTAAAGATAAGGGGCTGTCCTAGTTTGTATTGGGCCTACCACTGAGTTCGAAACCAGGTTTATATATTTAGGATAATGCAGACTCGGGTTGTATCATTTTCGTTTTTACCCCTGTTCAATCCCTGAAGGTCTTCATCGTCCTTGAAGCTCTGTTAATTCTCTCAGGTTCACAACAAAAATAGAATGCCAAGCCTTTCAGCTGTTAAGTGATATAAGTCGAGTGGAATGATTTTATATGCACCATTTTTCATCGAGAGCCACGTCAATACGTGCACAATTTGGGGAAGCAAATTGTAAGTGGCAAGTCAGAGTAATAGAATATAACCCATTCAATTCAGTTTCAAGAGAAAACAAATAGCGGCATACAGCAGGAGATGAATCCAACAAAACACCAATCTGCAAAAGGATATAATTATACATATAAAATATTTTGTCGCCTGTCCTTGTCAAAATTACGCTTACCTCCTAATTAAGCAAGCGTTTGGAATAATTTCTGATTTCCTGCAAGTCCAACGAGTCCTGTATCATTACATAAAGTTTGTCGGCACGGATCAACCTTAACAAATCATTCTCAGAATTTCTTCCCGGCATTTAATAATAATAATAATCATATCATAGTTTTGGTCACTATTTTTGCTCACTATGAGAAGGTTGCTAAGAAACATTCGCATTAATTGGTTAAGCTCACAACAACCAGACAGCAAAATTCAACTCTCATTGAGGGAGGGGATTCGAATTTAATGACTATGCACTGACTGTAATATTTAAATCATTAAAATTCAGATCAACCGTTTATATAAATTTATTTATTCATTAATTTAAGTGAAATATGAATTCAAAATCATTGATCTAGATTTCAAAATTCAAATGCTACATACACTCAATACTTATATTAAATATAGTCACTTAATCCAAATTCCATTAAGGGGAGCCATTCTGACTTGTCAAGTATCAACATGGCTACAGTTATTGCTCATTATCCTCCTACCTTTCGACCACAAGTTTAGTCCATAGATTATGACTGATAATTAATGAAAATGATGAAGGCTTAAATCTGCTTTCTCAACTAGTATATTATTACCATTAAAGTGATCATTGCCTAAAGAAACAATACAGCATTGATTAACTTTCTTTGCTTTGCGACACATCTTGAAGATTATTATCTTGACTTCTTTTACATTTGGTGTCGATCTGTACAATTGCCAGTGAATACTAGTAGTATAAATTAGTGTTATTTTATCGCTATCATTTTCAAGGCTGGCTTGGGACAGCTGTAATGAGACCTCTCTTAATTATTATATATATGAAAAACCGTAATTATTTAAGATCACAGCCAACAAAGTGAAGCAAATTCAAATTGTTCGGATGTTAGGCTGGTAAATAGGACAACCTAAATGTGAAGACAAGTTTCCCCGTTATTATCGTCCCCCTTGTGATAACTCCAGCCATGTGTATAACAATAAAAACAAAAACATGATAGAGCCAAAAGAAGTGAACACTATAAAAAGAACCCATACCTTACAAACATCTCTCAATAAGGCGAGCCATTGCAGAAGGAAAAGAGTGTACCTAAGAGACCTGCAAAAGGACGTTATGATACAAAAAATGGAAATGATGATAAATAATGAAGAAAGCATGGGAAGAAGTATGATGTGCATGGAAAGAGGTGACTTCCAAGGAACTCGCAGTTTCAAGAGACGAAGAAGAGAACCTGGAGTGGCCGCACCTAACTGTGATGATAATCCAGGTCAGAAGCAACAGCAAGTTGATCAAAATTCTACCACCCATACTGTGAAGAGAAGTTCAAGATTTCGAGGTGTCAGCAGGTGATAAGGAATATCTTGCCCTATTTATAGCTTCAAACAACCATTAAGTTCCAACGTCTTCAATTGTTCTGCTTGATTTACTAATCCATCTCAAACTGCGTATAAAACAGGCACAGATGGACTGGTCGGTACGAGGCTCACTTGTGGGACAAGCTCTCTTGGAATGTAACACAGAAGAAGAAAGGGAAGCAAGGTATAGTTCTTCAATTTTTAATGTTTTATCAAAATGACAGGAAACTTAGGGTTATTGCATACTTTTCCTCATTCATTTCTTCTTCATTTCTAACATACCTGTGTTTCGTTTATTTCATTCGGTGGGAACGTGGATTGGAAATAGCAGTCTACCTTGGTGAGTGCATAACAACCCTCGCTATGGAGTCAAGAATGGTTTAATCCCTCCTCTAGCATTCATGAGATGATTAATTAAATTCCAATTTTGCAGGAGCTTATGATGAAGAAGAATCTGCGGCCCGAGCATATGATTTAGCTGCACTGAAATACTGGGGAACGTCAACTTTCACCAATTTTCCGGTATGGTATTAGTCATGATTTATCACCAATGGAAGGAATGATCTTTATCCTTGCTTGGATACTGATCATCTCATGCTCCTCATACTTCCAACAGATATCAATTACATGAAAGAGATAGTGATAATGCAGACTATGACAAAAGAGGAGTATTTGGCTACTTTAAGAAGGTAGGATTTCTTACCCTAGTCTTATGTCCTAACTCCTAATGGCACAGGGTATCTCCCCCACTATCCAGGAAAAGTATCCGGAGGGTTGTCATTGTTAATAGTATTTAGTGCTTACAAAAAGTAACCCAGAAATCATAAGATAGGTTTGAAGAGCACTACCAAGGTAAGCACACCTATATAATTCTAACTGTTTTTCCTTTGACAGAAAGAGTAGTGGCTTTTCAAGAGGCGTGTCAAAGTATAGGGGTGTTGCAAGGTGATAACCTGATGAATATGTGATGACTTCTGAACCGTCATTATTGGAAATGATTGACAATTACAAAGCGAAATTGTTGCAGGCACCACCACAATGGTAGATGGGAAGCAAGGATAGGGCGGGTTTTTGGAAACAAATATCTCTACCTTGGCACATACTGTAAGTTCTATCTCTAACACCCATCAGAGGACTACAAGATTAGACCAAAACAATAAGTCAAGAACAGCTTATCTGTATCTCATGCACAAACTTCTTGAGCTCATCAAAGCTATGCATGCTTCCGATCAGGCACCCAGGAGGAAGCTGCCCGTGCCTACGACATTGCAGCCATTGAGTACAGAGGGATTCATGCTGTAACCAACTTTGACTTGAGCAACTACATCACACTGTTAAGACCTGCAAGAGGAAATATCCCGGAAGCAATGCTAGCATCGCAGATCGTACCAGAGTTTCAGACAATGGCATCTCCATCTAACAATACTTCAATAGAGGAGTCCAAAACATTGTCCCTTGACAACAATTTTTTCAACACAGATTTCCTGAAGTCTTCACAAAAGCAAGAGGTCTTTGAGAACAAACCCGCTTTTATCTCAAGCAATAAGTCATCTTCACCCACTGCTCTTGGCCTTCTTCTCCGTTCTTCAATTTTCAGGGAATTAGTGGAAAAGAATTTGAATCTATTTGGAGATGAAATTGATGGGGAAGACGTGATGGATCAACAACCACATATAGCTGGTGATGATGAGTTGAGTAGAATATTCTATGATAGTATTGGTGATATCCCGTTTGCCGCTGATCCTAACAACTATGATTTTGCAAGAGAGCTCCACTCCATCATATGAACTGAGAAGCGTAGAAGTTTTAACTAGATGCAAGAGGCCTCCACTCCATTTTCTAAATAGAGAAGCTAGTTATTTCTAAAGAGCAACGTATTGCTAGGATGCATTTATATCCTAGAGAATCCAGTCTCACTGGTGGGGACTTGTGGGTTACCAGTATTTGTGAAGTTCTGGCTTACCAATTCCTCCATTTTTGCAGAGACAAACAAGCTTTCAGTTTTGGACTAGTAAATAATGATGCATGCTGCATACTGTTGTATGATCGACATGCCTCTTTGCAGAGGGAGATTAATATATATGGAAGCCATAGTTAACATATCTTTTTCTTCAGCGAAACACCATCTGGTTTAACCACAAAGACCTACTCATCTTAGTCCATTCATAATCTTTTTTAAAGCTAACTCATGTTTGACATATTGGGACCAGTAAAATATAATATGGGTGTTATTTACAAGAGCAACGACTAATCAATCCACATTTTTGTAGAATGAAAAAAGCGTTATATGTTCTCCAGAAAACAAATCAAGCACGGGGAGGGGGCTCACTGTCTGCAACAAGATCACCTTTCAAATAGTAACAAACTTTACCTAGTTTCAGAAAACTAGTCCTCTAATCAGGATTCACTGTTTCCAAGGAGGATAACTAATTTTTAAGTCCAAGAAAAAGAAGCTGCTGCCCCTGCAAAGAGGCCGGATTCAATTAATTTGAATCACAATAAAATCCTTTAATATTTCATGCAGTAATTTATCAGCACCTCACAATTTTAACGAATTAGTCGCAGCTTTAGAAACAGATATAGTCCATAGTGTTGCTTGTCTTGCACGCCATCATTACAGTTAAGCCATTTTACATTACATTTAATACAACAGGGTGGGGAAGGGTGAGGTGGACATCAGATGAAAGCCATAACCTCGACCCCTGGCAAATTGAAAGAAGAATGAGCAGTAAAAGACTTCCAAATTACATATTGCATTCACCAAGGGTGAAACATTATGCACTTGCAAGCATTCCTCACTAAACTGGACCCTTAATCTATAGTGTGCTTGCAAACCAAAATTCAATTACTATTTATAATCTGAAAATGAAATTTAATTTCCTATTAATGATATAGAGCAAGCTAAACTTTCCTTTTGTTAAAGCTTTTTTTTTTTTTTTGGATTCTGCAAAAATGACCAGTGACAGAACATTTGAAGTTTAAACAATGAAATCCTCCAATGATTTTCACTTCTTCCAACCTATCTATGTTGCCAATTTTTATTTGTAAATGATCAACTGATATTGAATTACAGAAAAGAAGAGACAAAATGTAGAAGTAAACTGATTGCATGGTAAATGAACAAAGCTACAAAATGACCAGTTGAACTGACGTTAAATGCAAGCAATCTAAGTACCAAGTCCATCAGCATACCTCTTGTATAAACGATACATTTGTTGCTTTTCCTTAAAATCATAAAACGTGATTTCCTCTGAACTCTGGAGAGCATCAAATTTGCTTCCTTTTATTTCTATTAAGTTTATCCCTTCTCGCATACACTCAAAAAAGAACAAACAAAACCCCAACAGATAATGAGACCGAACCCCATGGAAATGGAGGACCTCTGAAGCACGCAAGGGATGCTTCTATTTCTTGGGAGGCACGATGGACAATAGAATGGATGGCAGCCAAATCATGATCAGAAGACCTTAAGTAAGGAAAAAAAAAATCCCATTTGAAAATCCAAACGTGACAGTGCAGACACCACTTTGTCCAGCTTGTATTTGAAAAGTTCCATCTCTGAATGAACTCGAGATGCTCCATTTGTTTGAGTAGATCTCCATCTCCTCCATATGTTTCCATGGAATGAAGAACATCTACAGCACTTGATATGCTGTAATTCAAGGACGTCAACAAAACATTTCTCCAGGCTGCATCTTTCTGCACGAAAGACACAGATGCATGTGGGAAAATGGCCCAAATGGAGTCTTGCCTATACTCCACGTAATGGAACATGGATGAGATTTAATTAGTTTTATTTTATATATTTAAGATTATTTTATTAGGATTGTTTGAATAAGGACATTAAATATCCATTAGATTATTTAGGATTTAATTAGATTTTTTTATTAGCATCTTTCTTATGATCATTTTAGATCTACTTTATTTTCAATAAATAGAATATCTAGATTATCTTTGTTACTTGTTAGGATTAGGTTAAGATTTAATTTATTATTTTTAATATTTCTAGGGTTCTATAATAGTCTTAGGTTTTTCAATTATATTCAAATTAGTTTTGAATAAATTGAGTTGAATATTGAATTGTCTCATTTCTCTCAGTTTCTCCTTTCTCCCTAATTCTCTCTTCTTTACTATATTTCTATCTTTTTTCTCTTCTTTTCTTCTTTCCCCCTTCCCATTTTATATCAATTTGGTACTAGGGCCTAGTTCTCACTTCCTTTTCCTGTGTTACTTTTCCTTGTTTGAGATTTATTGAAATCCCAAAATCAATTAGGGCATAAAGAAACTCCACCCTCCAACATCATAGCCATAATCTATTTACACCTCTCCAGACGTTAGTCACTGCACCACCACGCTTACAGTTACCTTCAACTCCTCAAATTTGCCTAAACCTCAAAGTTATCAATGTTGACCGTGACCTAACATGCCCTCGCATGCCACTATCTCCTCCTGCTTGTAGAATTCACACACAACACATACAACACACGTCAAGAATATCCATTAGATTATCTAGGGTTTAATTAGATTTTCTCATTAATATCTTTCTTATGACCATTTTAGATTTTTTTTATTTTCAATAAATGGGATATCTAGATATATATGTCTAGATTATCCTTGTTATCTTTAAGGATTAGGCTAAGATTTGATTTATTATTATTTTTAATATTTCCAGAACCCTGTAAATAGTCTTAGGTTTTCTCAATTGTATTCAAATTAATTTTGAATGAACTGGGTTGAATTGTCTCTTTTCTCTGAGTTTCTCCTTTCTCCTTAACTCTCTTCTATACTATCTTTCCATCTCTTTTCACTTATTTTCTCCTTTCCCCCTTCTCGTTTTACTTCACCATGTATAGTCCACTAGAGTATTATCGTGTATAGGACTCCAATGCAAATGTGCTAGTGAAACTCTCCACATGCTCTGAAGAATCGGCCCAACAAGTGGTCTTTCAAGTTCCCTTGTTTTTAAGAATACAGGATGGCCATTGTAGCTATAACTACAAACAGTCTTAGGGTTCTTTATCCCAACTGCAATAACCATATCCTTGAAAGCAACAGACTGGTGATATCGATCGAGGAACACAATCGTGTTATAATCCAAGTCAAAAACAAACACAGAAGTAGTCCAACCAAAATCCTCTTCAGGTTACCCTCTTGCTGCTTTCCTGAACTCATGAGCATATTTAGATAATATCTGATACAAACGCTTAGAATCCAAACACTTACAATAATAGTAGAGTTATGAAACAAAAACTTGGAAGTATGTGAATTAAGAGACCTCAAAATAGCAAACGACCATATTGGGCAGTCAGAGTATTTAACTTCATAAGCCCTAAAACTCAACCACTGGCCACGCAACAAGAGCTCGTTATCATCAACCTCACCCTTGAACTTCTCAATTAATCCCCAGTCAAAACCACTGGACTCCTTCCCTCTAAATCCATAACGATGTATGAACTGAACGACCAATTGATTTTCATAAGGAACAGGAATTCTCAAAGAAGGCACAAGAAAAACTTGGTTGGCACTCCAAATCAATGAGGCCAAATCCACAAGAAATGCCTTCCCGGACTTGGTCGACCATGGAGTGCCCCCAAAGGATGAACCTCGCCCCTAGGCAAAACCCCATCCCCTATATAAGCCGGCCCGTAACTTACAAGTCCTGCATTCAAATCAATCCAGACATACCCCTATGTTCCAGTGAAAAAACTCCCCAGGCACCAGGGAAAAGCAGGAGAAGAATCAATTGACTCGTAGCTATAAGAATATGGCCTTACCTAGGCACCTAAATTCATCAGGTATAGATACACTTCTTCAACGGGCTTTTCCTTTTCAAATTCATGCTTAATGATCTGATCAACAGAAGTATAGGAGATAAATAGAAGAGGAAGTCTGGGGTTCGTTAACCTTTTGACTACTTCAAAGTTGATTGTATTAGATAGAATAGAAGCTAGAGAGGGAGAATGAGATACGCCCAGATGGAGCCCATGTGATAACGAGACGGTGGTTATGGAGCAGAGAAGGGGAGATAACATGGAGATGGCGGGACGGTTGGGAAGCCAAGAGATAGGAGAATAGGAGGGAATCAGCATCGGACGGGAAATCACTGACGAGCTGGACATTGACCGGGAAAGAGAAAGTGAAAGAAAGGAGGGAGGAAATGAGAGAGGGAATGTGAGGACGAGAATGGGAAAGAGAGAGGGATTTCTTGACAGAGGAGGGGATAGAGAGGAAGGATTTGTTGGAGGCTAGTGGACCAAAACAGGCGTGATGGGTGAGAAAGGAGCCAACGCCAATGACAGGGAAGGTAGTGGCGGCGGCAGTGCTAATGACGGAGATGAAAAGGGCGGCGGCGGCAGCCATCTTCGGCTGCAAAAGCCAAAGCAGTAATCGTAATGGCAGAATGAAATGGAATTCACTTGAACATTATGGGTCAGAATTCGTAAGTGAGAAACATTTCGGTGTTAACAGGAACTTAGGGAGACAGTGAGTGAAGCACCGAGGAGCCTAACCGCATGCGTTCTGCTGACAATTTTTACCGCCAGATATACGTTGTAGAAAGAACCAGACCTCAATTATCTGCAGTCCCTACATGATTTCACAAGGTGCAATTAAAATATTTTAGCCGTTGATTTCATCCCTTCATTCTTTTTTCTCCATAAATGAAATTAATTTTAATTTTAATTTTTATAAACTTCTTTTTTCCCTTCATTCCCCTAAAACATAAAGGATAAATAATAACCTTCTAAAAATTTGTCGTTAATTTGATCAAAATTGAGTTAGAAATTTAAAATTCAAATGACAAAAAGTAGAAGGTAAAGATAAGAGTAAAAATAATTGTATGATAAAAGAGATGTTATAACTTTTAAATTTAAGGCCCAGTAAAAAATCGTCTGTAATTTGTAAATCGCTTGCATTAATTGTATAGATGTATAATATAGAATTACTGATGATAATATTGATATTTTTATAGTGAAATAATATTGCTTTTGATTGAAAATTTATGAAAATAAAAAGTTTGTAATCCTAATGTGAATGTCTCTTGTAAAATACTTGTAACACTTACCCTGAGTGTTATCCAAAAATCACATAATTCAAATAAA